ACCAGTTTTAACTTGTTGACTAATTCACAGAGTAACAGTAACCTACATACTTAGAGGACTTGCTCTGTGCCAGGCACTGTTTGAAGTGCTTTCCAGCCCTGTGGGGCAGGTATAATTAATCTCCCTATTTTATACAGGCTAAGTAACTCACCCAAGATCACGTGCAGCTACTAAATGAACAACTCCTGTACACACCATCTTAACCCCTCTGCTCACTGCCTCTCACGCAAGTATATTCACTTCGCGGCTGGAATTACTTTCCCTCCCTAATCTATGGCCTCTCCATCTTGTATCAATGTGTTATATAGCAGCAGTTGAGATACCTCAATTTCAGTTTGGTCCAGATTAAGATGATTTAGAAACTAAAACAGGTTGTTATTTTCCTCAGTTGGGTCCAAGAATGATTATCTTGGCCCTGAGAAGTTTTGACTTGAATGCCATGCCTTCTTTTTCTGAGGTGTGATGAGAAAACAGCTATTTTGAGTTGCTGCCTGTGCATTTTACAGTATACCCTGCTCACACCCAGGTTCTGGACGGTTAGATAAGGACCTGACCTAGGATTTTCCTGCCCCAAGTTCCTGCTTCGCTTTTCCCGGGACCTTTTAAAATAACCACTACAGTTGAGCCCGTGAAAAGTTAGTGACCTCTGCCCCAACCACCCTATAAGCCGTAGGTGCTTGCTCCCCTGCGCTCCATCTCCTGCTCCCTGGCGACCTGGGGCAGAGGACTGCCTCCCCCAGCTTGGTGCCCCCCGCCCCCGCCCTGTTTCTGGGATCTATAGGTAATAAATCTTGTGACTTCCTTTGTGTGAGTGTCCTGAAACTGCACCTCGATCAAAACGACCCCGGGGTTTTCACTTCCCCAAAGTGGCACCTCAGATGCTGAGGGAGCTCCTGTGTGGGTGGCTTGTGCCCCTTCTTTAAGCAGGTCAGAATCTGCATATTCTTTTTTTTTTTTTAAAGATTTTATTTTTCCTTTTTCTCCCCAAAGGCCCCAGTACATAGTAGTGTATTTTTAGTTGTGGCTCCTTCTAGTTGCGGCATGTGGGACGCTGCCTCAGCATGGCCTGATGAGCGGTGCCATGTCTGTGCCCAGGATCCGAACCAGCAAAACCCTGAGCTGCTGAAGCAGAGCGCGAGAACTCAACAACCCGGCCACGGGGCTGGACCCAGAATCTGCATATCTGTAATTTAATAGACCACCTACGGGGCTCCTCAACACACGAAGGGTGCCATTTTCCCTCAGCTAATAAACGCTGCTATTTTGAATGTTTCCACATTCTTGCAGATGGTGAAAAATGAAGCAGGGTAGGCTGCAGCCGCCGGATTGCAAAGGACCTCAAAAACCATGTTGAGAAATATGGATTCGTTCTGAGACTCCCCCATCCCCACACCAGGATCCCCTAGAGGGCTTTAGGCAGTGAAGTTCATTTAGGCAAATCACTATGGTAACGCCCGTGTGGAGAATGGACTGAGAGAGGCAAAACTGGAGGCCCAGGGGTGGGTCAGGAAGCTTTCCGAGAACTGTATCCGAGAGCTTGGTAGTTTGAGCCAGGGTGGATGGGGAACAAGGGATGGAACTGGTGGATCTGAGGGTTGGATGTGGGGGTTACGGGAGATGGACGAATCGAGGAAAATGGCCCGTGTTTGGTTGGGGCAACAGGGAGGTTCCATTTACAGATACTGAGAACAAGGGAAGGAGGACAGATTTAAGGAGGAAGGAGTATAACTTTAGCAGGTTGACTTTAAGGTGGGATAGCAATGTATGACTGAGATTTAGGAGGGAGATCCTGGATTGAGAGAAAAAATGTGAAAGCTGTCAGCACGTGGATGGAAACTTGTGCTTTTGAGAGTGTGTCAGGACAGAAGGAATCCTAGGGCAGAACTTTAAGAAAAATCAATATCTAAGAGATGGGCAGAGGTAAAGGAGCCTGAAAAAGAAACTGAGGTCTGCGTGGAGAGTGGAGGGAAAGCCTAGAGAGTGCACAGACAGGGAAGTTGGGGCAGAGAATGCTTCTAGAAGGAGGGTGTGGCCAACAGGGTCAAATGTTAGGAAGAGCATGAGTAACATAAGGACTAGGAAGCGTCTTAGTGACACAGCAGGTGTGAGTGACCAGCTGATGGCAGTTTAGGTGGGGCTGCAGAGGCCAGAGTTGATTTAAGTGGTGAGCAGAGATATCTGGCTCTAAAGAGGAGAGATGACGCTAATGAGCTGCGTGGGCATAGAGAGCTGGGGGTAACTATATATCTATACCTGTTTCCTGGAGAAACTTGAGTCTTTTTAACTGCTGAAGGGAAGGAGGAGGTAGAGAGGGAGAAGTTGAACACACAGGAGAGAGGGGAGGAAAGGAAGAGAGTATGTTTGGAGGAAACGGGATCCCTGCCTGGTGGATGAAGCTAGCTGCCTTGAGAGGAGCAAGGACACATCTTCTACTGAGCCAGATAGGAAGAAGCAGAGATGAGGAACAAGGTGAGTTCGTCGATGTGGTGGTGGGAAGGGTTCCTACCTGCTGTCCTGCTTTCTCAGAGAAGTAGAAAGGGAAGCACCTTCTGCTTACAGTGGGGGCAGAGTTGGTGGGGTAAAAGGTTTAAGGAGAGAGCAGCAGGCTTCAGTTGGAATCTGGGGAGAATGAGGAAAGAAGCTGGCAAAGAAAACCACAGAAGAATTGGTTGGAGGATTGAGGACGAGGGGTTGCTGGAGACCATGGATTTGGATCCACAGTGAATCCTTCAGTTGGTGGGATGTTTCTCTGTAGGAATCAGCTGCCAGGGCGTGGGGTAGGGAGGAGGGATAGTTGGATTCTATTCTTAGAATCCTTAAGTCGGAGGAGCTTTTTGTGCCTGGAGAGGAACACTAACCACCATCTGTGCTTTATTTGTTCTTTAATCTATTTACTTCATAAACCTACTTAAGCAAAAATTGTTTAAACATTTAAACATTATTTATATAACTAACAAGCCAAATCTACCCATTTTACAAATCAAATTATTTAAACATTGATCGCAAACTTAAATCCTCCTACATATTTTAATAGAATCACCAGTATAACATGTCAGCTTCTCTAAAAGCATCAAACATTTTGGTAAAGCACACACATCTTACAAGGATGATACAATTTATTACACCTACACTTAAACTCATCATAAAGCTGGGTTTGTAGACCCGAGAGATGGACATTATCTCAGTTCAGACCAATCTTTGAATTTGGATATCCAAAAGAAGAACACTATCTCAGTACACATCAAGTTTTGGATTATTAATCAATAAATTCTTGGTTGGGACTTGGGGACTGGTTTACCTGCTAAGATGATTAAAACCTGAGCCAGCGTTTATCTTGTATATCATGGGAACTTTTCAAGCCCACACCTTTTCCACGCATTCTGTGTATTGTGAATGGATGCCCTTTCTTTAAATGATGTCATCTTTAAGTTTAATGACTATGATAAGCAGAAGTCCCAAAGATGTCCATGCCAAAATCCCTGGACTCTGAATATGGGATGTTTCATGGCAAACTAATGTAATCAACGTAATGGGCCTTAAAATAGAGAAATTATCCTGGATTATTTCGTTGGGCCCAATCTAATCACACGAGCCCTTAAAATCAGAGAACTTTCCACTGAAGTCAGAGATATGTGGCAGAAGGGTAGGTCAGAGAGATTCAAATGTGAGAAGGACTTGGCCTGACGTTGTTGGCTGAGAGATGGAGGGGGAGACGGTCCTTAGTCCTATACCCATAAGGAACTGAATTCTGAATGAGCTTGGAAGTGGATTTTTCCACTTCAGTAAGGAAGGCATCCCTGCCCACATCTTGTTTTTGACCTTATGAAACCCCGAGCAGAGAATCCAGTCATGCTCCGCTGGACTTCTGACCTACAGAAACTGCCCAGATAATAAAGAGGTGTTGTGTTAAGCCACTAAATTTATGGTAATTTGTTACACAGCAATAGAAAACTAATACAATAACTTTACTGATATTATTTACAAACTTATCTAGCTCATCTGCATTTAAAAAAACCTTCTAGTTGTTTTCTCCAATATCTAATCTCCTCTTCTTCCTTATTATAAAACTCCTGACCTTTAGCTGGGCATGGCTGCCTGGAGTAAAGACTACTTCCTAGCTTCTCTCCCTGGCCTGGTGTGCCCAGGCATGACTAAATTCTAGCCAATAAAATGCAATCAGAAATGTCTGGTACACCTTTCAGAAAGCTTTTTTAAAGGGGTGTGCCTTCTCTTCCTTCCTCCTTGCTGGAGGCAGTAAGGCTGATGTAATGGCTGGAGCTCAAGGGGCCATGTTGGGTCGGGGGGGGACATGCTAAAGATGGCAGAACAGCAAGAGGGGAAACTGGGCTGTGATGATCATAAAACTGCCCTCAATCCCTGGACTCTTTACTTGCAGATTTTTCCATGTGAGGCAGAAATAATCTCCTATCTTGTTTAAGCCATTCTCATTTTGGGTTTCACTTTTACTGTAATTGCACTATAATTAGTAGGGTAATAAAGAGGCTCCCTTTCCCAAGAGATGAAGGATCAGGTTTGAATAGTGAGCAGTTATCTTTTGGATGTTTGACCAATTCATCATCTCGTACTAAACACACTGTTGGACTTTTTTTCTTCCTAGTTGTAATATATGAACAGACGGTGCCAATCATTCTCTTTCATTCTTGGTACATTTCCAACTTTCTCTAGAATTACTCACTGCTCACTGTATTTACCCCTCCCTACTTATACAGATAAAGAAAAATAAATGTTTCTTATGAATAGATAAAATACTATATATTCTTCTACTTATCACAATTAACTAAAAATATCTATACTACATACTATACTCATTCTTCTTATATATATAGTATATATATATATACTTATATATATATATACTATATACTATATTCATTCTTCTTCACGCAGTATTTAACTACCTTTTGCACCCTTTATAGTGACTTTTTGCTTCTTGAATATTACTACACAGTCACGGGTTTTAAAAATTCACTTTGTTCCAGTTAACTATATTATTTTCCTTTTGATTATGAAATTGTCACAGAGTGTCAGGTGGGAGCCTTTTAAAATCGGTTCCATTGCCTTTTTGGTTCTACCCTATACATATAAAAAAGCATCCTTGCTGTTTGTCATCAACAACATGTTCCAGGCCTAGAGTTATTTAAGACACAGAGCTGTTCTCCAGGGAAATCAGTCTTTTTCAAGGTGAATAATATTTGAGGCAAAGATCCAGGTGTTAAGAATGCATATCGGATTTTTCCTGATGTTGTTTCTAGGCTACTTTCACAACAAAAAGTTGGAAAAAGTTGTTTCTTTTGGAAACCACAAATTCACATTGGTATTTCCTATTTAACTCAAGCATTACCAAATCCTTTTTTTATTTGGCTCTAATATACAGCTTTACATTTATTTTCTCTACAACATACCTGCTTGTACCCTGTAACCCCCGATCCACATTGCAATAGCATTTTCTCTCTTTAGAGATCCTATAGTGTCTCATCGACCATCCTTCTCTAGTTACTTTATTGACAGATTCATCCATGCTGGGCCAATGGGACAGCGAGGTAACAGAGAGAGAGTTTATAATACTGGAAGGAGCGAGGTCGAAGGGATGAATCATGGAATCCAAGGTAATAAGAATTTTAAGGACGGGAGCACAAATCAGGGGTAAGAGGAGAGGTTATGGGATAGTCTGGAAGAGGTACAGTGGAGGTAACTGAGAGAGCTGGGAGGAGGTTGGTAGTGGTCAGAGTGTGGAGTGATGGAAGTTCAGACTACAGAAGGAGCAGTTCTAGGAGGTCACCCTGGCCATTGATGTGTTTCATGCCTGGATATCTACACTTGCCCACATATGACCTTCTACCCCCACCTCCAGCTGCCCAAGGAAGCTCTGTACACCTGCTTTCAGCCAGAGCAAACACACACACCCCATGTCTCAGGTGGGGAGGTGAGGGCCAGAGTCCATCTGGGACCTGGTACAGATGGACGCCTGGGTCCACTGCCTGCTGGCTGCCCTAATGTACATGAAAAATGTGTACCACGTTCAGGCTGGCCGCATGCCCCCTTCCTGCCCTACCAGCCACAGGCTCCAGGCTGCTCTGTGGCCCTTCCCACACTTCTGCTGGTGGCTGAGCCTCCCGCCCTAGCCCATAAGGCGCTGGCTCAGCTTCTGACTGTGTTGACTGAGATCTGTGATGCTGGCACTCCTCACAGGAAGGAGCCTGCAGGGTACTCTGAGGCTGGTCCATCTGGGCCCCTGTGGGGGCCTGTCAGGCTCACCTGTGCCACCTGTCCCCAAATAGCACTGAGCAGGAAGCTGGGGGTGGGGGGGGGGGGGCAGGAGCAGAGCCTGCAAAGTAGCACAGGCCTCCCTACCTGCCAAACCCTGCCCTGCCTAGGGCTGAGGGCACAAAGAAATGCAGGGGGAGACTGGGAGGGCATTGGGGTCAGGGAAGAGGGGCCAGGCCCTGAGACACCACAGCTCTACTCTTCATTGTGGGTACAGGGTCCCATGCAAGGAGGTGGAACACAGGCAGCCAGAGGGAGCTTCTCTCCTGCCTCAGAGATGCTGTTTCTGGGGTAAGAGAGGGCAGAGGGCAGAGGTCAGGGGCTAAATTCCCGACTTTGAAAGGGAGCTCTCAGAGTGGGAAAATGAGGAAGCCAGAAAAACTTGAATATTTCCAGCCACCCAGCAGGTTCCCCCGACGCAGGCGCAGGGACACCCGGTCCCCGGGGTCCAGGGGCAGTAGCACAGAGCTGGTGGCTGCCTCCCGGGTCACGTCAGGGTCGTTGGCAAAGGCTGAGATGACAGGCCATGTGTTCAGCATCAGGCTCACCTGGGAAGGGGAGCCCAGTTAGCACCTCCCCCCATCCCTTCTCCCAGGACTGCCACTTTCCAGAGGGCTTCCTCTCTTCTCTCCAGCCCCAGAGGGACACTCTGGAACCTGGGAACCTGGGATCAGTGCACTCCTCAGGGAGGGCTAAGGGGTGGCCAGTGTGGGACTCTGCCCCTCCTCCACACTCTCTGCTAGGCAGGCCTTTTCCTCCCAAGGGTGGGGTCCCTTGCTCTGGCCCCCCCAGGACACAGGTCAATGGAAGGTCTGCCCAGGGTCCGCTGGGCCCTACTTATTCCCCCTCCTTTCCCTCTCCTCCCCTCCTGAGTCAGGGATGGGGCCCAGCGCTCAGGTCACCTGGACGGTTTGGCGGTTGTACACCTTCACCACATGGAACCGGAAGCTGTAGACGCCCCGGACAGGAGCCACGAAGGAGCCTGAGGCCCGGTCAAAGCCACCGCCCTCGTTCACTAGGACCTGCAGGAAGCAGACCCTGCTGAGTGGGGCTCGAGGACGCCTGGGGCTCAGGGAAACCACTGGGTTGGGGGAAGGGGTAGTGAGGAAGGAAAAGAAGCGGTGGCAAGTAGATAGAACAGAAGGAATGCAAAGATTCAAAAGAAACAGTGAGAAAAGGCAAGGAGGGGTGTGGGCAGGTGTGTAGGTGAGGGAGGCAGGCAGTGAGGTTGTGGGGCAACTGACCACAGTGCAGGGCTGTGTCCATAAGAGAAAACTGGGTTTGAACAGCTGGGTCCAGGTCCTTGGGGGTAGGGGATTACCTGGTCGAAGTAGATGGCCCCACTAGTGCCGTTGTTGATTTCCCCTGCCGGCTCATGGTGGTGGCTCCGGACTGCAGCAAATGCGACTCTTCCAGGGGGTGCCTCTCCCAGGGCTGCTCCCCCGGGGCCCCCAGCAGCAGCTCGGCCCGGTTCACAGACCACCAGGCACTCACCCTCCAATAGAACCGGCTCTGCCCCCTCCTGGGCCCACCCAGCCTCCAGGGACAGAAGCAGCAGCGCCAAGGGCAGCCCAAGGCTGAGTGAGGGACCTGGTGCCCAGTGTCGCTTTGCTCCCAGCATGACTGAGTGGCTCTGTGACCCACAAGTCCTCCTCTTTCTACTCCTTTTGGTTTCCCCTCCTCTTCCCCAGACTCTCACCGCCCCTCACCCTGGTCCTCAGCCCTCTCTCTGGGACTCACTGTCACCTGGTCTCCTGGCATCTCCCTCTCCATACCTCTCTATGCCCCACGACTCTGTCCTGCCTCTCACTCCTGCTGTCACTGCAGTTCCCTCCTCCTTGGCAGGGCACAAAATGACAGCAGTTGGGCTCTGGGAGGGAGAGAAGGGATGAAGCAGCCAGACAGGAGGGCTACAGCCAGAACCCAGGGCAGCCCCTCCAGGGAGCACTGAACTGGGAAGATAGAGAACATAAGTGTGCGTGTGAGAGTGTGAGAATGTGTCAGTGCGTGCAATTGTGTATGTGACTGTGTGTATATGCGTGAGAGACAGCTCCCACAGCCCATTCCTCCTCCTCATGCCCTCCTCTTCGAAACCCCTCATAAGTCAACTGCCCTCTCAGCAGCCTCTTCTCCACGTCGGAAGCAAGGGGGAGCCCTTGTCTTTTCCCCACAATTGTTTCGGTGGAAAGTGTTCGGGCCAACAGTGTCACTATTTTGTGAACCTGGGCCAGTCTCTTTCTCTCCATGGTTGTCCATATCTTCATCCGAAGGGACTGCGTAAGTCCCTCTAAGGTCCTCTTCACCTCCAGCTCTCAACGAGTGGTTCCTCCTACCCGAGGCAATACTGTGCGGAACTAGCGAGAACCCAGAAAAGCGGGGAGAGTCCGCGGGGCAGGCGTAGTGGGAGAGCCCCGGAGAACTGCGGGCGAGTGGGCGGGGCGGGGCCGAGGCCGGGGGCGGGGCCAGGGGCGAAGAGGAACCCCAGGAGTGGGGGCGGGGAGGATCCCGCTGGGCCGGGGTCCGAGGCGGAGCCTGGGAGGAGCCCGGAGGAGCGGGGGCGGGGAGGAGGCGGGTGGGCCGGGAGTCGGGTCGGAGGCGGAGGCTGGGAGGAGCCCGGCGGAGTGGGGGCGGGGAGGGGCGGGGAAGAGGCGGGGCGGGGCGGGGCGGGGCGGGGGCGGGGGCGGGGAGGAGCCCGGTGGGCTGGGGCCGGAGGCGGGCGCGCGCCTGGGCCGTGCAGGCCCAGCCCCGGGAAGGGTCCGACTGACTCCGCCCCGGGCCAGGAAGTGACTCAAAAAACTGAGATGTAGAGAAGAGAGGTCCCCGTTGGGTGAAGAATCCGGGAAGGCCCGCCCAAGATTCGGGTCCCCCACCCTTCTCCCCTGGGCCGGGGGCGCGGGCGAACCTGGGGTCGGAGGGCCCCGAGAGGCGCCGGCGGGACTGAAGCGGCGCGGGCGGCCGAGGCGGTAGGGGCCCCCTCCCCTGCGCCCGGGCCGCGGGGGCCGGAGGCCGCAGCGCAGAGCGCGCCTGGGGGCGGCGGCCGCGGGCGGCCGCGGGCGGCTGTGGGCGGGGCCCGCCCAGCCCCTGGGTCCCCGGAGGGCGTGTGGCGCTATCTAAGGGGCCAGAGGACAGCGGAGGGAGGGGGAGGAGTAGGAGTGGCTAGAACCTTGGAAATGGCAGACAAGGGACCCCAGAGGATAGCCCAATTCAAGCCCTTGTGAAGACGGATTTTTAACAGGTCGTCTTGGAACCAGAGGTTGCAGGGTCCCCCGAGGAGAGGGACTTTTTCGTCACCTGTCCACTCCTGGCCTTCAGACTGAGCTAGACCCCTCCCCCGCTTCCTGCTCAGGTCTGTGGTCATAATTTTCTAAAGGCCAGACTCCCATCCCAGATAGACAGCCTTATTTATCCATGACTTCCTCTCCGGAGAGAAGGCCCGTGTGTCCGGATAACCTGACATTCCCTTCCTACCGCCAAGATGGACTGAGATGCTTGTTACTTCCTAGGTTGTTTACCAGCTCGGTAAACAACTAGGTGCGACCTGTTGATAGCTGGTGTAGGCCGAGAGACCAAGATTGGGGTTGAGGGCACGGCGAGGCTCTGAGCTGCCTTCCCTTCTTCCAGGACTGGGCGGCCAAGCAGCCATGCCTACCTGGGGGGCTGGCTCGCCGTCCCCTGACCGCTTTGCGGTGTGTGCGGAGGCCGAGGCCAAGGTGCGGGAGCGGCAACCCCACGTGGAGCGCATCTTCAGCGTGAGGATGAGTGTCCTCCCGAAGGACTGTCCCGAGAACCCTCACATCTGGCTGCAGCTGGAGGGCCCCAAGGAGAACGCCAGCAGAGCCAAGGTGAACGCGCCTCCCTGACCCTTCCGGAAGGATGACTCCCTCCCCCGTGGAGGCAGAGGAGAGGAGGGTTGGGGGAGGATCTCCACTCCTTGCTGTTCTCACTGGCAACCTCAGTGGCCCTGAGTTTTGAGGGACTTCCTAACTCTCTGTTTGTGTAGAGTTTTGGTTTCATTTTTGCTGTGACGACTCAAATCCTCAGGGCTTGTGATTCAGTTCAAATCAGTGGTGCTCTTTGGGAGAGTAGAGATAATCCGGTTGGGCAAGAAGGCCCCACCAAGGAATTTGCTGTGGGGTGGGAGGCTGCGCCACATTGCTTCCTTTGGAGTCAGTTGGGGCTTCTAGTAAGGCTCCACCGCCTACCAGCCTTGTGGCCCGAATCTCAGTTTCCTTATCTGTAACATGTAAATAGTAGCAGTGTCCACCTCATTGGTCTTATTGTGAAAGAGATAAAGCCTGTAACACATGAGTTCAGTACAAGTTAGCAATAATGATCATTATGAGGGAAATATACAGCACACATATGCACACATAAATATTTAGAGATAGCCTTGTAACGTATTAATTATAATAGTATCTTAAATTGAGTCAAATTATTTTTTAAAAAATATTTTAATTTTTTTTAATTTTAATTTTTTTGAGGAAGATTGTCCCTGAGCTAAAATCTGCTGCCACTCCTCCTCTTTTTTTGCTGAGGAAGACTGGCCCCGTGCCCATCTTCCTTTACTTTATATGTGGGATGCCTGCCACAGCATGGCTTGACAAGTGGCGCATAGGTCTGTACCTGGGATCCAAACTGGTGAACCCCAGGCCACCGAAGTGGAATGTGCGAACTTAACTGCTGTGCCATCTGGCTGGCCACTGAGTCAAATTCTAAATGGAAATACTAGCCACCAGCTGTCAGCTGAAAAGGGAAAGAAGTGAGATTCTGGATCCTTTTTTAACACTTGCCTTTGTCAGCATCTGTGGGGCTCCGTTGCTCTGCCCAGGCATCCTGGAGCTCAGGGGAGAGCCATGGGCCTGAAGGGGCTACTGGGCCACTTAAAATCCCAGCAGTCTCCTTTTTTCCTACCTCCACTCCCCTCCTTCCCCCCTAGGAGTACCTGAAGGGTCTCTGTAGCCCGGAGCTGCAGAATGAAATCCACTACCCACCCAAACTGCACTGCATCTTCCTGGGAGCCCAGGGCTTCTTCCTGGATTGCTTGGCCTGGAGCACGTCAGCACACCTCGTGCCTGGGGCACCCGGCTCGCTGCTGGTCAGTGGCCTGACTGAGGCCTTCGTCATGGCTCAGAGCCGAGTGGAGGAGCTGGTGGAACGGCTGAGCTGGGACTTCCGGCCAGGGCCAGCCCCTGGAGCCGGAGTGCTAAGAGACTTCTCTGCCTTGCTGCCGGCCCAGGGGGACGCCCACAGAGAGGCCCTGCTGCAGCTGCCCCTGGCTGTCCAGGAGGAGCTGCTGAGCCTGGTGCGGGAGGCAGCCAGGGGGCAGGGGCCCCAACCACTCCCTTCCTGGAATGTGGGAAGCCCAGGCCCACTGGGTGCTCAGCACCAGGGAGTAAGAGCTCTTCTGAGTGAAGGCAGGGAGTCTCTGGACACTGGACCTATGGGGCTGCAAGGGTCAAGGGGGGAGAGACATGTTGTGGAGATGGAGGGGGGCAAGCAGGCTGGTCTCAGGGAGATGGATTTGGGGTGGAAAGAGCTGCCTGGGGAAGAGGCCTGGGAGAGAGAAGTGGCCTTCAGGTCCCAGTCATGGGGAGGAGAGGCAGGGCAGGCAGGGCCCCTGAAAGGGAAGGCCCTGGGGAAGGAGGAGGCGCCTCAGGAAAGAGGAAGGTTCTGTGTCCAGGGGGAGCCTCCTGGTGCCCAAGGTCCCTATCAGAGGGTAGCTCCGCTCCGGGGGGCCTCCCTCCTGCAGCGGCTCCACAATGGGAAAGCCTCACCTCCAAGAGTGCCCAGCCCCCCACCTGCTCCCGAACCCCCATGGCACTGTGGCGACCGAGGAGACCGAGGAGACAGGGGAGACAAGCAGCCCGTCGTGGCTCGAGGTCGGGGGTCTCCATGGAAACGAGGCACCCGGGGGGGCAACTTGGTGACTGGCACACAGCGTTTCCAGGAGGCCCTACAGGACCCTTTCACCCTGTGCCTTGCCAATGTGCCTGGCCAGCCGGACCTCCGCCATATTGTCATTGATGGCAGCAACGTGGCCATGGTGTAAGTACCCATGGTGGGGCTGAGGGTATTAGGGAGGGGGAGGACATGGGAAGTTTTATTTACCTTGGGGACATGTGCTGAGGGGCAGGCAGTCCAGCCAGGCTGCCAGGCCCCTCCTCTAGGGCCCTAGAGTGCTGACCCCTTCCCACCACAGTCACGGCCTCCAGCACCACTTCTCCAGCCGGGGCATTGCCATTGCTGTGCAGTACTTCTGGGACCGTGGCCACCGCGACATAACTGTCTTTGTGCCTCAGTGGCGTTTCAGTAAGGATTCCAAGGTCAGAGGTGAGTTGGGACTGGTCTTTTGTGTCCTGGGATAGCCCCTGCTTCCACCTTGAGGGTAACCTGGTTATGCTCCCCTGTTTCTCTAGAGGGTCACTACCTGCAGAAGCTGTACTCCCTCAGCCTGCTCTCCCTCACTCCCTCCCGAGTCATGGATGGCAAGAGGATCTCCTCCTATGATGACAGGTACTTGCTTCTCTCCTGTTCCCAGGCTTGATATTTAAGGAGCCCAATGGGCTACTGAGGGAGAGACAGAATCTCCCGACCCTCTGTGCTGTCTCTAAGCCTGGGCAGTGGGAATAGGGCCAGTTATTCCTCCGTGTGCCCCTGTAACTAGGTAGGTAAACCTGACCTGCACGTGAGACGGACGGTTTTGTACCCATTCATCATTCGTTTTTCATTCATCAGACTGAACGAGGCCTCATATTTACATAGTGCCAATGTCTAGAAAATACTAGTTTAAGGGAAAGATAGGAAAGCAGATGACATGACTAGCTGACAGATGCTGTCTTACAACCTAAATCTCCAAACATGTAAATTCCCCAACCTTCTAGAAAAACCAGAATAAATATTCAGAATAAGAAGACAAATGAAAAATCGTAATCCATGCATAATAAGACTGTATAAAACGTGGTGCAATAGAGAGAACACTCGACTTAGAATTTGAGGATCTGAATTTGAGCCCCAGTTGCACTCCTTGACTCGCTCTGTGGACCGTCTCTTAGTGGATTCACCTCTTTGTCTCAGGGTCCTCTTCCATTCATTCACCCTCCTCGAGAATACAAAAGAAGATAAGGTACGTTCTCGCCTCACTCAAGGTGCTAGGCAACCATTCAGTGATATTCTCTGACGTTTCTTGGACCAGTGTGGCAGAGGCTCTTACCCCTGTGGTACAGAGATGGAGGCAGAGGGGGAGAGTGCTTAACTGTTGGCAAAGGGGACTCAGGGGCAAAGGAAAAGGAGAACTTACAGCTGCCAGAGGGTTGAAATGAAAAACCCAGTGCGCATTCCCTCCCAGCACACACACCATGTGAGAAATGGGGAGGTTTTTTTTTTCCCCTGCTTTATTTCCCAACCTCCCCCCCCCCCGCTCCCCCCCCCCCCCCCCCCCCCCCCCCCCTACATCCTAGTTGCAGGTCCTTCTAGTTGTGGGATATGGGACGCCGCCTCAACGTGGCCTGACGAGTGGTGCCATGTCCGTGCCCAGGATCTGAACCCTGGGCCGCCACAGCAGAGTGCACGAACTTAACCACTCGGTCATGGAGCCAGCCCCAGAAATGGGCAGGTTTTAAAAGCTAATTCATCAGTTAAAAAAATTTACAACTACAAGTTCTTTATTCTCTGGGACTTTCAGTTTTAAATAAAAAACTAGTTTCCAAACTGTAATGATGATATATTTTGTCTTTGCAAGTACTTAACTTTTACAGGGAAATGGTATCCTGCAGAAAGGCAGTTCCTTTTCTCCCAAGGCTGTTCTGCTTTATGTCTGGATTTCACAGATTCTCTAAGATATGGAACTTTCTTTCCACACCAGCACTGACACAGAATTGAAAGTGAAGACTGAGTCGGTTGTAATGAGTTTTAAAGGCCTGTGTCTGTACAGTTGTGTAGGTCCTGGTAGGCAGACAGCACAAGATGAATCTGGAGTTCTGCCTAGTTACAGTGAATAAGCACAGTGGTACCCAGCATGGGCCTACTAGATGAATACTGCTGAACAGCGTATGATTTGACATGATAGTAAAACGTGCTTCTCCTGAAGAACCTTTTGTATATCATATGTGTACCATATACATTTATGTGTCATCCCCTTAATTTGTTTTCCAGACAGAAACTCAGAACCAGTCTAATCTTTTTTTTTTTGAGGAAGATTAGCCCTGAGCTAACATCTGCTGCCAATCCTCCTCTTTTTTTTTCTGAGGAAGACTGGCCCTGAGCTAACATCCCTGCCCATCTTCCTCTACTTTGTATGTGGGATGCCTGCCACAGCATGGCTTGCCAAGCGGTGCCATGCCCGCACCTGGGATCTGAACCAGTGAAGCCCGGGCTGCCGAAACAGAATGTGTGTGCTTAACCGCTGTGCCACCGGGCTGGCCCCCAGAACCAGTCTAATCTTGATTACCAGTCCCCTCTATACCACACTATCTTTCAGCTACTTAGGGCCCACTTAGTATTAGGTGAATGGCAGGAATGCTGGGAATCAGGCAAGACCTGATTCTTGACTTCAAAGAACCAAAAGAAATGATAAATCAAACACTACAGGAACTCAGAGGAAAGGGAGCCCCCTTCTGGCTGGGGTTTTGGGAAGGGAGGGATTTGAGAGTTTTTGGTTGCTTGAGAAGGACATAGGATGGGCTGGATCTCTTGGTTTTCAAATCTGTTAAAGAAGATTCCCACCCACCCCCTCATGAGTCCTACCCGAGTCACATGGAGTCAGAATTACAAAAGTAGGGCCCGGGCTTCTCTTTTTATTTTTAATATTTGTTTTTGCTGAGGAAGATTTGCCATGAGCTAACATCTGTTGCCAGTCTTCCTCTTTTTTTATGTGAGCCTCCACCATAGCATGGCCACTGACAGGCAAGTGGGGTAGGTCCTCGCCTGGGAACCGAACCCGGGCTGCAGAAGGAGAGCATGCTGAACTTCACCCCTAGGCCACCAGGGCTGGCCCCCAGGCATCTCTTTGTAAAAAGTTTCCCTGGTGACTCTGTTCAACTGTGAGATTCGGGAATACCTTCCAGATAGAGGGACTAGTTTGAGGGACAGGACAGTCAGCACAGGGCATGTTTGGAGAACAACGTTAATCTGATCATTGATTTTGGCAGGAGCTGAGAGTACATTAGGGAATACCAGGAGAGATGAGGCCATCAGGGTGGCTTGGAGCTGGGATCTGGAAGGCTTTAGCTGCCAGGGCTGGGCATGTGGACTTTATTCCATAGATAAAGAGCAGGTAGGGAAGAGTTTTGTGTACAGGAGGGTTTTGTGTAGGGAAAGAGCATGTCCTCTTGGAGGAGGGCAGGAGAGACTGGAAGGTGCTAAGTGGCTGGGGACAGGGGACCTATGCGGTATCAGTTGCAGTATCTGAATAGCTAAGGTGGTAATGGTGGCACTGGGAAGGAAGGGGGCAGAGTGGAAGGCTTTTCAGAGGAAGAACATGCTGGGTTTGTGACTGATTGGTGAGGCAGGGTGGAAGAAGACAGGCCAGAGCCAGAGCTTACTGTCGCTTATGAGGCGGCGCAGAGTGTCGAGCGGAGGGGTGTGGTGAGTGGAGGGGATGCTGCTGGGAGACCACTTTGGATTGTTTTTGTTTCCTCTCTAACCCATGGCCGCTGTACCTAGTCAGTCGTGATTGCGTCACGGTGAGGTGGGGGCCAGATCTTATCACCAGAAGTGGGTCATGGGAGTTGATAATGCTCTTTGGGGTTGGGGCCTTCGAGAATCCCAGAATGGTTGCTGTGGTTTTTGAGACAGGTTCATGGTGAAGCTGGCTGAAGAGACCGATGGGATCATTGTCTCCAATGACCAGTTCCGGGACCTGGCGGAGGAGTCTGAGAAGTGGATGGCAATCATCAGAGAGCGGTGAGGGAGCCCTCCCCTGAGAATAGGGCATGGACTCAGACCTTTGTCTAAAACTAGCTCTGCTCTGCCACCAGCTCAGGACTCTGGGAAGGGGCTTGACGTTGCCTTTAAGGATGATAGCCAGCAGCTTATGGTGGTGTTGGTCTCAGCTGTCTGATAGGTGGGCAAGGGCGCCTCTGTGACCACACATTCTCTGTTCCCATCCAGCCTCCTGCCCTTCACCTTCGTGGGAAACCTCTTTATGGTCCCTGATGACCCATTGGGGCGACATGGCCCCATGCTGGATGAGTTCCTGAAGAAGCCAGCCAGGTAATGCCCCACATTCTCCTAGGCAGCCCCCAGCCCTGGCCCTTTCTCTGAGGGGCCTTCAGGCCTGGAGACTTGGGGGAAGTGTGACCTCAGTCTGGGCCAGCTTAATTCTGTAGTCATTTAAGTTGCCTTGGGCTTGGCTTTTAACTGCTTCCCAGGGAATTCTAACACAAACCCTCTGGCTGGGAGGGAAGCTCCTGTGTCTTGTTTCCCCTCATCAGTGTATTTGATGGAGTTATTTGGAAGATGGTTGCTTTTACTTATGGTCACTTGTATTCCACTTGCCTTCTGCTGGACCATTAAGTGATTAATTAATTAATTTATTTTTTAAAGATTTTATTTTTTTTTCCTTTTTCTCCCCAAAGCCCCCCGGTACATAGTTGTATATTCTTAGTTGTGGATCCTTCTAGTTGTGGCATGTGGGACGCCGCCTCAGCGTGGTTTGATGAGCAGTGCCATGCCCGCGCCCAGGATTCAAACTGATGAAACACTGGGCCGCCTGCAGCGGAGCACGCGAACTTAACCACTCGGCCACGGGGCCAGCCCCTAAGTGATTAATTTATTAAACTGGAAGTATATCATACTGGGGACCGGGTTCACCTTCCTGGTTCCAAAGGAACTTTCCATCTTCCCTTCAGAAGCGGGTTGATAGTGCTGCTCAGTGGTCAGCTTGGGGAACTTCAGGATTGTCCCTCAGGGCCAGGAAGAGGCAGGATAGTTAACTGGAGAGGAGAGCTGGAAGGTCCACTGAGCTCGAACTCCCTCCAGGATGCTCATCAGCTCTTTTTGTTCTCTCTGCTTCTTTCCAGGGCACAGGGGTCTTCTAAGGCTCAGCATCCTTCTAGGGGCTTTGCAGAACATGGTAATCAGCAGCAGGGAAGAAAAGAAGAGGAAAAAGGCAGTAGTGGTATCCGGAAGACCCGGGAGACAGAGCGGCTCCGGCGCCAGCTGCTGGAGGTATTTCGGGGCCAGGATCACAAAGTGGACTTCATCCTGCAGCGGGAGCCGCACTGCCGGGACATCAACCAGCTCTCTGAGGCCCTGCTCAGTCTCAACTTTTAAGCCTCACCAGCCTGAGTGGCTGCCACCTGGCCAGCTCCAGCCTCACCCAACTTAGCCCCTTGTGTGAGACTCCCTCTGCTGCTCAGACTGACCCAGACCCACTCTGAGTTGGTGCTTTGGTCAGGGCAGCACTGAGGAAGAGCACTTGTGTGGGGAATGCTCTTGCCCGGGGCACTTTGGGGTCAGGTCCATAAAGTGACCTGATCTCATCTTGAGTCAGGACCTCAACCAGCTCTCAGGAGGTTCCGCTCTGCCTTAACTTCTCAACCTTGCCTTAGCACAGGGATTCTGTAGGGAGTGGGGGCTGCTGGAAAGGGCAGGTCCTGGCCATTGGGATGCCGGCTCCTCATCCAAGCTGAGTCGGGATCGAGGCTTGGGTGGGTGGGAGGGGAATGAAGAAAAGTGGCAAGGAAGTGAAGCCTTTCCTCCCCCTGGCTGAGGAAGGATGGAGGACAGGATGCACAGGATGCTTCCCAGGCTGGGCTGGGCTCCTGGGTACAGTGAAGGGAACACTGGGCCTGGAAAGGCTGGTGCTACGGTGTCTGGGTCACAGTGGGGCAGCAGAGAGCTGGTGGAGAAGGCAGAGGGAGACTTGGCTCCTGGTTTCAGCTGTGCCTGTCTGTGACCTTGATTGAGCTGCCTGGCATTTACTTCTGCCTGTAAATCAGGGTAAAAATGCCTGTTGGGAGAAGGAATGAGAACATGGAGGAAGGCCCGTTGGAGGGAAGGTACTTGGACCAAGTCTCAGGTGTGTCCGTCTGTGGCTGCACAGGCTTCCTAACCAAAACCTCATTTCAGAGTGCAGAGGTCCTCTGTCCCCAGGGCCTGTGCCCTAGATTTTAACACTGCGTCCTCAGTATAACGTGCCCTATAATGGCTGCGTCCCTTTTAGGCAACCCCCCAAGTCCGCATTTACAAAACAGTTGATTAGGGCTGACTGACTGCATACCAAAATACTCTCAGGGTTCCTATAAATGGCAGCTCTCCTGTTGCATTCAGGTGTTTGTTTACAGATGAGCGAATGTGTCAGGAAGTTCCCGGTTAGAAGCACTTGCTGAAGTGTCGAGCATTCACCAAAGCGATGAAGCCATGCTCGGCAATGATGATGTTAATGTGCTCTGACCCTAGCGTTTTCTCCACAGAACACATATGTTGCATAAAGTGAGGCCCACTTCTGCTCTGTGTGTGTGTGTACACGTGTGTGTATGGGGATCGGGGGGTTACAGAGTTTGGATCTAGAGGAACCAATTATCTGGAAAATGAAAACAGAAGAATCAGAGTTGGAAGATACCTGGCTGGCCACCAGACCAATTGCTGTCAATCAGGACATTCTCTCTCCACCCTGATGCCTACAGGTCATTCTCCTGCATCTGCGTGAAGTCCTGCCATGCCCGGGAATTTACTGCCTCCAAGGCAGCATGTTGCACCGTGGACAGCATTAGTCAGTAGTCCTTCCTTTTGGGCACCCCAAATGTGCTTTTCTGTTACTTCTACCTTTGAGGCAGGTCATCCTGACAATACAGAGCCAGTCAGCTTCCTAGAGTCCAAGACCAGATAAAGGAGTAGGACAGGTGCCGCTGGGTGCTGTGCTGTTTGGACCCTGCAGCAAGGCCCTGGACGCGATCCTCTTTAGGCTCTGACTACTCCCTGAACGGCACAGGAAGTTCAATACTGCTGCCCCGGTCCATTGCAGCAACTAGCATGGGGAGCCAAATGGTGATGGCGGGGGTCCCTGGGTTCCCGTGTCTGAGCCCCTCCTCCCTATTGGTGAGGTACACCACTAGAACCTGTTGACCTGGGCTGGGGCAGATGTGTTGGAGAGAAGCTAGCCAGGGAGGTGGCAGTGACTAAGTCCCCTCAGAAGAAAGGAGATTTGCCAATATGGCCTAAATTGAGGGCTAGGGGAACTACTGGTCAAGTTGTGGTAGATACCAGGGTAGACAGAAAGGGAGAGGGTCCTAGACAAACACTTGGGACTTTGTTTCCTGATATGGCACGGTCTGTATTTTGCATAGGGTCCTTGCCCCTTTCAGTTTCAACGATGGGGGTGTGCTGTAGGCCAGAGGTATCTTCTGCCCTTTTGTGCTGGGGACCTTCTGACTGAAGTGGCCCCTATCAGATGAGAGACAAGTCCTAAGCTTCTTACAGACCCGGATGTTGGCTTTGTCCTGCTGCAGCTTGATGAACTGGGACCAGCGTGTGATTGCTTTCTTAATTCACTGACTTGCGGTGACAGACTGAAGGCTGTCGTAGACTTGGGCCTCGACTCTTCCTCTGCTGGCATCCTAATGGCACTGTGTGAACAAGTATGCAGGGTGACCAGAGAACCCACTGGAAGTGGAGCATCATTTCTCTTGTCTTCTAGTCTCAACCTTTATGATGATCTCATGCTCCAAATTTGTTACCAGCTCTTTTGGTGATGGAGGGACCAAGAAGGGAGATGTTGTCCATTCTAACTTTCAAAACCCATGTAGGGGAAAGAGTCATCTAGGGTGACATTCCTTGAAATAAATTCCAGGAGGATCCAGGCCAAAGAGATGAGCCGAAGCTAGTGAGATAATTTATCTTTATTGTCCAAATGGCAGAGAATCCTATACACAGCAGAAAGGAGGAACGTGGCAGGAATGGGACCTGTAGGGAAACCAAACTTGGAGATTCTTTTCCCAGGAGCCGAAGAGGTCAGTCACACCTTGATGAGACTGTGACCTTGAGAAGTGGACCATCTCTCTCAGTTAAATAAGGTGGAGCAACAGAGCAATGAGAAAGGCCAGAGGAGGATTCCCTAAGAACCAGATGGTTTCAGGTCTCAAGTAGAGGAACACGTGAGCCTATTCACTGTCTAACCAGGAAGCCTCTGTTGGGGGACAGGCTTTGGGCCCTGCCATGAACCTTCCCACTTAGGCTACAACCTCCTTCAAGGCGGCCCCCAGCTCTGGGAAGGAATACTGGTAGCCAGAGGCCAGTGTCCGCCGGGGGACCACCTTTTGGCCCTCCAGCAGCATGATGGCACGCTCTCGCCCAAAGACAGCTTGCACCACAGTGCTGGGGAGAGGGATGAAGGCTGGGCGGCCCAGGGCTGCACCCAAGGCCTGGGCAAACTCAGCATTTGTAGTAGTGGAGGCTGGAGCCACTCCATTCAGGACCCCCTGTACGTGGCTTGCTTCAACGGCATGAGCCAGGATTCCCACCAGGTCCCTGATGTGAATCCAGGGGAAGAACTGATGGCCTGAGCCGATGGGGCCCCCCAGGCCCAGGCGGAAGGGCAGCAGCATGTGACCAATGGCACCGCCCCCACGGCCCAGCACAACTCCTAGAGCAGGCAAGAAGGATGGTCCGGGGAGGCAGTCAGCCTCCAGGCAGCCCCACTGTTCTCCCGCTTCCCCTTCCTCGCTCCTTCCCCATGCTAACTTAGCTCTGTAGCAGTTGAGGGACTTTGGTACTTCTGATCCTTACTTTATAAGCTCAGCTCCCCTGATCCTCGGACTTCCCCAACCCAGAGAAGATGGTCCAACCATGTGTGAGACCCCAGCCCCTGGTTCTCACCGGAGCGCACCACCACCTGGCGTGTAGAATCTCCTGGAAGCCTGGCTGCAGCTTCCCATTTGGTTACGAGGTTGGAGAAAAAGTCAAAATCCCCTCCAGGGCTGTCCTCATCATACTCCGCAGTCGGGCTGGGCTGGTAGTAAGCTGCCAGTGGAACAGCACTCATTTGCTCCAGTGTCCTTGGTCCTGCCTGGCCCTTTGCAGTCAAGGCTCCCCTTGGCCTCACCCACCTTGGCCGTTGGGATCTCCCCATGGGAAGACAGAGCCATGGTATTTGCTCCTTGAGCTTCTCTATGAGCTGACTGTCTCTGCCCTGAAGAACTCTTATCTTTAGTTAGTCTTAGCAGGACTAAACTGAGCAGCTGCTGGACTGTAGTGGTTAAGAAAAAAGACTTGGGTGCCAGGCTGCCTGAGTGTTAATCTCAGCTCCACCATTTATTAACTCTGTGCCTTCAGCAAGTTACATAACCTCTCCGTGCAGAATTTTTGCATCTCTAAAATGAAAATAATAATAGTACCTACCTCACAGGGTTCTTGTGAGAATTAAATGCTGTAATATGTGTAAAACACTTAGAATAGCGGCTGGTGTATAAGCTATAATTGTTTGCCATTATTTGGTCCCAAAGGTGAAATACAAGAATCGGGAATTCTGTTTCTAAAGAACTGTTCTGTGAGAGTCAAGGGACTTGAGGGTAGGCGAAGTTTTTCCTGGCACAGGCAGCAGTGCTTCAACCCCCGCTATCTCTGAGGGTCCCCATTTCTCAGTGAAAGTACACAAAGGTCAGGAGAAACATGCATGGACGAGGGCCTAGGAAGTCCCTGTGCTTGGAAAAGACTAGCCCTCTGGGCATGTGTAGCTAGGAGGGCCTGAGCTCCCTCTCATGGTGGACTACCTTCCCCCGGCTCATGTATGGGGCTGGTGATCTGGGGCATACCTACGCCTGTGACTAAGACCCAGGCCTGTGGGGGGTGTGGGGCCTTGGTGATGGCTCTAGCCAGCAGGTGGGTGGTCTCCAGGCGGCTGCTGAGAACCTCTTTTTGGAAGGCTTCATTCCATCTGCAGGAGAAACAGAGGAAATAAAAAGTCACTAAATACATACATGCACATATCCCTCCCTCTCTTTCCCTGGGGCCCGTCCATATCCACGTCTAGTAAAACCCTGCATTGTGTCTTAGTGAAGTGGTCCATCCTCCTGTGGAGGGAAAAGGCATATCTTTTTTGGGCATCCTGAGCTATAAGCGAGGACTGAAGTCAACTGGCTGAGTGGGTGGAGGGGCAGGTGGGCGTGGAGGGGTGAGGCAGGATGAGTAGTCGAGGAAATAGGTTTAATTCTCAATCTGGCAGCTCCATTCTCCACAGCTCATAGGTTCTCATCAGAGCTGACCCCCCTCCTCCCTATGCTCTAAAGGATATCAGTTTTAGGGCCCAGCCTGACCTTCGGAGAGGGTTGAGGATGTTCTCTCCGGCCAGGTTGATGGCAGCGTCGCAGCGGGGCAGCCCCGACGTAGCGAGTTCATCCTGTCAGAGAAAGCACACGGTGCCCCCGAGGCCCCGCCCTGCGCCGCCAAACCAGGGCTCCCCCCGCCCCCAGCTTCCAAGGGACGGACATACCCACGTGATCCGACCCGGCGCGGGCTTTCGGGAGATCAATGTCACTTCGTGGCCCCTGGCTTTCAGCAGCTGGGTTAGGGCTGTTCCAATGAAGCCCGTCCCGCCACCTGATCGGGAAATACCAGGTGTTTATCCTCCCGGGGGAGCCTTCCGCCCCCGCATGTGGGCCCGTCCTCTGGTGCCATCCCGTCTGACTCCAGATTTCTCTCCTCCTCGCCCCCTCCCCACAATGCAGACGTGACACAGGTCACAGGGATTGGCGAGATTCGGCTTCTCGGGCTAGGAGGCCAAGGCCAGGTTGCCCGTGCACGTGACAGTGCCCCTCTCGGGAATGGCCTCCCGGTTTTCAATCTCTGTCTGGCTCAATCTTCTTTCCATAAACCCGCCCCTCACTCTCCCTTTCTGCCTCTCTCACCCACAAGCACCCGCATAGCGGCCAGGACCTAACGCGCATGTGCTAGAGTTAGAGCACTCCCTCCTCCCTTAGTGGCGACTACGACCTCTCTGCGCATGCGTCATCCGGGAAGAGCGCTCCAATTAGGGGGCGGGCAGACTTGTGAGTGGGCGCGGCCCTGCCCGGTGACCCGGAAGAACTCATAGAGAAGGCTATGTATTTCATTGCAAGGCGTGGCTGGGACAGTACGAGCGGTGGGGAAAATAGACACGGGGGGCGGGGAAAGAGGGGGGCGGGGAAAGAGGGGGCGGGGAAAGGGGAGGGCGGGGAAAGAGGGGGGCGGGGAAAGAGGGGGGCGAGGCGGGGGAGGGAAAGCTTTAGTGCAGGGAAGAGCCCTTGACCTAAAACCGGAACCTCCTCTAACTGCGAAGTTCTGGATGTCCATTCGGTTTGGTGGATCAGTAATCCAAGAGAATCTGTCCACCGGTAATATGGATTCATTCTACTCGGCCTATTTATCTTTTCTTTTCCCTGTTCTGGCTCCTTTGTATCGGCCTTGAAACATGCCAAAGTTCCCCTCGTCTTAAAATAACCCTTCTCCAGCTCTCTTCTTCATCTGCTAATGTCGTCTCTCTTCGTCTTCATAGCTAGACTTCTCAGAAAAGTGGTGTCCATTTTCCACTTCCAAGTTCACTCTCGCCTGGTTTCTGCCTTTATCATTCATTAACTCTCTCGCCAAGATCACCAATTTCGCATGTGTCATCAAAACAAATCCCTAGTTTTCAGTCATTATTTTCGACCTCTGCATCACTGGACCTTTGCTGACTCCTCCTTCCGTTGGGAAATGCTCATCTTTCAGCCTCAGTGAAAGCCAGACTCCTTTCTGGGTCTTTCTCCTAACTTTTTTCAGTCTCTATTGCTTGCTCCACCTCCACTATGGTCTTAAAATGTCAGTATTCCTTAAAGCTGGGTCCTAGGACCTTCCTCTCTTCTCCTTCTGCACTTTTTCTCCCAAGCGTCTACGTTGGTGAATTCAGTTACCAGTTTTTTAAAGAAGAGTTCCTAAACCTCCTGTGCAACTTGAATCTCTCCTCTAAGTTCCTGACTCCTATAAAAACTTCCCATTAGACATTTCTTCTTGGATGTCTGAGACCCTGTTGATTTTACATACTAAATATATCCCAGATCCATCTGTTTTTCTCTGTCTCTGCCACTCCCACTCTCCTTCGAGTTATTATCCTCTTTTGTCTAAATGTCTGCAATAGACTCCTAATAAATCTTCCTGCTTTTGTGTGTTTCTTTTCTCCAAACTGTTTCACACATTGCAAACAGAATGATCTTTTAAAAACATGTGGGAGGAACACTATGGTGGCATGTATATATCCTAAAAAACTCCCATAACAAAATACCTAGATATGCTGGATAAAATATAACATATCTCCATTTAAATGCATTCCTGAGTTAACTAGAAAATAAAGGAAATCCGCAGAGACCAAAAACAAAGTTTTCCTTAGGATTGAGGCTACCTCATGGTTGTTCATCAGTCTCAGTAACCCAGAGGCTTGGGTGACAGGAGATGATGCCTGGGACCCAAGCAAGATTAGATCTGAGACCTCTGCATAAAGCTCTTCATGGACTATATCCTCAGGGAGAAAGTGAACTTTAAAAAGCCCACTTAGTATCAAAGAACATAACCATGAAGCGTGTTTCTATAGGTTTGGCTCTTGGCTAGGATTGGTTGTACAAAAATTTGTTTTCCTTGAGAAGTTGTATCTATTGTCCTGCCATCCTGCAGATTTGGAGTTTGAATTCATTGTTACCTGTTTGGCCTAGGAAGCCCTAAGCCAAGAATTTAAGTAAGTGTTCCAGATAGGAGCAGACATAAATCCTCCCTGGATTTCACAGGATCCCAATAGATAAAGTCCTGCTAAGCATGAGCCCTCAATCCAAAATTACAAAACACACAAGGAAACAAGACACTCTCAGGAGTCAACAGAAACAACTCACAGTAGAGTTAGACCAAAAAAGATTTCAGATGTTAGAATGATGAGATACAGAATTTAAAACTACCAAGTCTAAAATGTTTAAAGAAGAGGAGATATTAAAAACATGAGAAAGAGAAAAGATACTATCAAAAACATTCCAACAGAATTGATAACCAGTTTGAACTCCTAAAAATTAAAAATATAGTGATTCAAATTTGAGAACTCATTGAATGGCTTTAAGCAGCAGGGAATAGATTTAGCATTAGTTAAGAGAAGATTAACTACATATGAAGAAATTATGTAGAATGCAGCACAGAGAGACAGAGGTAGAAAATATGAGAGGGTAAGAGACAAGGAAGGTAAAGTGAGGGATTCTAACTCTTCTATTTGGCATCCCAGAAAAGAGGAGACAGAGAAAATTATTTGAAGAGATACTAGCTGATTATTTTCCCAAATTAATGAAAGATATGAATATTCAGATTCAGTAAGCAAAGTGAATCTCAAGTAGAACAAATAAAAAAGAAATCTGTACCTAGTCACATCATAGTAAAACTATGAGAACAAAGACAAAGAAGAGATATTAAAAGCAGGCAGCAAGAAGAGACAGATTATAAAGAAATAGCAGATGGACAACTGATACTTCAACTGCAGCAGTATAAGCCAGTGAGATAATACCTTCAAGTGGTAAGAGAAAATAATTGGAAACTAGAATTGTTTACCAACAAACTGGCATTCAAGAATGAAGGTAGGGGCTGGCCCCATGGCCCATTGGTTAAGTTGGCATGCTCCTCTTCCCCGGCCCAGGGTTTTGCTGGTTCGGATCCTGGGTGTGGACATGGCACCACTCATCAGGCGACGCCAAGGCGGTGTCCCACATGCCACAACTAGAAGGACTCACAACTAAAAATATACAACTATGAACCGAGGGGATTTGGGGAGAAAAAGCAGAAAAAAAAAAGAAGATTGGCAACAGTTGTTAGCTCAGGTGCCAATCTTTAAGAGAAAAAAAAAAGAATGAAGGTAAAACGAGGATACTTTTAGATAAGCAAAAAATGAGAGCATTTACCATCATCAACTTCTAACCTTTGTCAGGAAGAAAGAAAATGATTTCAAAAGGAAGGTGTGAAATGCAAGAGAAAAATGATCAAAATGTTGGTAAACAAAAGGGTAAATGTAAACAAATGTTGAGCATATAAAGCAATAACAGTAATATTTAATTTGTGGATAAAAATTAAAGCAGAAGTAAAATAGTAGTCCTCAATAACGGAGAAGTATGTGACTGGAGCTGACTTGTTGGGAAAAGGATAACAATACTGAATAATATTAAACTTTGTTAAATATACATTTGAAAAATTAAGGGCAACTATTATTTACTAAAAATAAATATGCACTTCCAGATCAGTAGAGAAAAACCATAAAACAATATAATCAATTCAAAAGTTATCAGGAAGTGATAAAAAAGAGGGCTTAGACAAAACTAGAAAGCTCTAAATAAGATCACAGGAATAATCAGTACAACAGACTAAGAAACTGAATTAACTAGGTGCACTGGAATTGCAAATTTCAACATGGGGGAATCTCACAACTACATTGTTAAGCAAAAAAGGAAGTTGTAGAAAAGTATTTGCTATATGATATTATTTATTTAAAGATTAAAAAATGGGCAAAATACTATTTTTATTGAAGAGATAAATAAATTTGTAATTAAAGTAAAGAGGAATGCATGGGAATAAAAATGAGAAAACTCAGGACAGCATTTTCCCAAGGCCAGCAGAGTGGGAATGTGATCAGGGAGGAGTATACAGGAGATGTTGACTTCTTATTTCTCAGGCTAGTTGGTGGGTACATGGGTGTTCATTTTATTTTCCTTTGTTCATATTTTCATAATAAATAAAATATTTCATAATAAATAAAAATATGTAGTGGATTTACAATTTATAGACATATCTCAGATGTGCAGAAACATAACTATTTTTTATAATTGAACACAACTTACTCATGAACATCTCTCCTTGGCAGAGGAGTAAACTTAAAGTCACCCAACCAAAGTAAATTTATCATTTCTAATTTAGAACTTCTCAGTTAACTCAGTTTTCTCTGAGCAAATTCTTAGTCTTTCAGAATGCCATGTCTCTCTTCTCCTTTCTCTTTCCGAGCTAGATAGCTGGGTATAGGAGGCCCTTTGGTCCAGATACCGTCATCTGGTCCTCAGTGCTTGCTCAGAAGGATCTCATCTCATTTGGCCTTAGCTTCCATCAGCTAAGGCACAGCTGGTTAGGCCAGGCCTCTGGGCGTTGTGTTGTGATACTGATACCCATGCTTCTGGGTATCATACCTTCTGCTTCTGCTACCCATGGTCCTTGCCTGATCTTAGTGTTCCAAAGTGTCCCCTGGAGGACCAAGGAATACTTGGCTTGTCTTCTGGCCAACAGCATGGAATGTTTGGACCTTGATGAGTCTCCCCTTAGGCTCATCTCTTGGTTATCTGCCACACTTATTACCATCCAGGCAACTTACTGCAGTCTAGCACTGTTATATGTTACTGTTAACAAATTATCTCAAAACTTAGTGGTTTGAAACAACAGCAGTAATATTTATTGTATCATATGGTTTCTCTGGGTTAGGAGTCTTGGAGCACTTTGTTAGGTAGTTATGGCTTAGGGTCTTTCATGAGTTATAGTCAAGATAACAGCCAGGGCTGCAGTCCTCTATAGGCTTGACTGGGGTTGGAGGATCCTTTTCCAAGTTGGCTCACTCATATGGCTGTTGGCAGGAAGCCTTGCTTCTTGCTGGTTGTTGGTAGAAAACCTCAATTTTTGGCCATGTGGACCTCTCTATCGGGCTGCTTGAGTGGCTTTCCAACATGGCAGCTGGCTTCACCAGAGCAAGTGATCTAAGAGAGTGAGAGTGAGGAGGAAGCCTCAATGCCCTTAATGACCGACCTAGTCCTGGGAGTTACATACAGTCACTTTTACCATAATTTGTTTGTTAGAAATGAGTCACTAAGTCCAAAGAGAGAGGAATTTGGCTCCTACTTTTGAAGGGATAAGTGTCAAAGAATTTATGGACATATTTTAAAAGCACCACAAACTCTGTGCTGCAATTAGGGCTTCTCTGAGAAGCTTGCTGTCTCTGGGCTATGCCAGGGAATTGTGCCA